ATCTGGATCATATCTGATGTGTGAAGTTTGGGTCTCTTGTCATGTTTCGGAGAGACTGTCCTTTAAACTTATCATTTTCAGTTTTTAGCCCAAACACGTAAAGGATCCAAAGTTTTACATTAAATTATTATTACTATTCTAAAAATTTGAAGTGGGGTTGAATGAGGTACTTATCCACATACCTTTATCTCTAGAGAGGTGCTAAGAAGTCCCTTTGCATTTTCACACATAACAGAGCCAAACGACAGCAGCATTGTTCCGCTCCAACGTCTGATTTTGAGAGCATGCTGCCATCGCGGGATCAAAAGAGGTGTGACATCTAGCACAACAGTGTCAGCCTCTAGTGTTACATTTAACACACCCATCGTCAGCACTGTAAAAACAATAACAATGACACTAATATGTCAATAACGATCATTGTTCACTGGCTGGTCTCGTCCTCTGCTCGGAGGGTAAGGAGATCCTGGACCTTGGTGTTTTCACAATTTGCGGACATTTACAGCTGCTGTTCATCTTCTTTGAGTTAGCTGCTAACTGCTAGCAGCTACTTTTTGAATCTCCAGTGGTGGGTTGCACACATAACACGTTGTCAAAATTTCACACACATCCTGCTGGCTGTCTACCCTGGAAATCCAGAGTTCTCACGAGAGCACAATTTGAATTTGCTCAGCGAGTCACTCTGACAATCAGTAATGATACTCATTATCTATGCCCATGAAACCAAGCTGCACCAATCACATCGGTGTATCTGATATAGGCAGGCCAGAGGCGAGCTAAACAGATGATGACAGCACTGCGACGACGAAGTCTGGAATCAGTCAGTAAACATTGCAAGATGGCTACGGATGAACACCAGTTGTTTGAAACGGCTTTGGCCGCTACAATGAACGAGTTAGACTTGGCTTTTTCTCTAAAAGAGGAACAGAAGACAGCGCTCGAGTCTTTCCTTTGCAAGAAGGACGTTTTTGCTGTTTTGCCGACTGGATACGGCAAGAGTCTAATCTACCAGTTAGCTCCGCTGGTAGCTAAGCGTATAAGTCCCCCTGTGTATTGTTCTGATTGGTCATAGTGTTATCCAGTTGTGTGCAGTGATATTTTCAAATGCATGCTTGGTGCCGCCCCTCGAGTTGGGCCATTTTCATTACTCATGGCCAGACCCTAAATCTTTCTAGATTTGGGTCTGGATTTCCAGGCTACTGGCTGTCCCTTTTAAGCTGAAAACACACGTTGGCATGTTATGTGTCGCATGTCAAGTACTGCCCCTAGCACACACCGACATGTCGCGCTGCAGCTCATTGGCAGACAACCACACAAGTTATTACTACTTTTACTGACAGATCTGTACCTCTTCCACCTCTGCATGAGCTTAAAGTCATGTGTGGACAGCCACTAATTAAAGTTGATTTCTCACCTTAAAGAGATAGTGCACCCTATAATGAAAATTCAGCCATTATCTACTCACCCATATGCCAATGGAGGCTCAGGTAAAGTTTTATAGTCCTCACAACACTTGCGGAGATCCAAGGGGAGAGGGGGGTCGCAACACAATTCCACCTAATGGAGGCTTACAGATTCAAACGTCAAAAAACACTTAATTAAAACCACAAAATATCTACTATACTATACTATACTCTACTATACTGCTCGTCCGTAGTGGTACAAGTGTCCTGAAGCCCCGACATAAAAAGTTGTTTGGAAAAATGTCATTTGAATTCTGTTTTTAGCCTCATTGTAGCCTGCAGCTCTACTTGCCTCTCTGTGCTCCGCGTTCACGTGTGTGAGCTTGCGTGAGACATGGGCACTGCGTTCATGTGTGAACACGCACACGTGAACACAGCGCACAGAGAGGCAGTTAGAGCTGCAGGCTACAATGAGGCTAAAAACGGAGTTCAAATGACGTTTTTCCAAACAACTTTTCAGCATATGGGTGAGTAGATAATGGGTGAATTTTCATTTTTGGTTGTACTTTCCCTTTACAAGCTGATCTCCAGAGCTATAACTTGCCAGGCAATATCTTTTTGGCCATTGCCTTTATAATGTCAGGATTGTGGGTTGTTTAGCTCGGGATATAGCTCTACCTCAGTGACTCTTTTCTCATCCAGTCTTTGTCACACGAGACACAGCAACAGCTACAGAGTTCTCTTTATACATCAGTGGTGAGGAGAGGAGTTGAGCTGCCATAGGAGCAGACAAAAAGAGCCTCTATGGGAGCTGGTATGCACAACAGAGAGTGAGTATGGGAAAAATGCATTTAATCACGGGGGTGGCGAGGCTGAAAATAGGACAATGGCGTGAATGGCCATGGGGCAGCACGTCCAGGAGTGCCGGTGCGTGCCTAGCCACCACCGATGTGGAGTTGTGCATTGAAAATAATAAGTGCATATTTTTGAAGTGCAGGGTTCACCACTGGTGTGTTTTGGCCTTTATACAGACATCATTTCAGCACTGATACTCCCTCCACTGCCGGCTTAAAGACAATGCTGTGCCCTTATTCTGCAATTGTACCTTTTATACAGAATGACAAGGCGGCATAACAGCGGGAAATTTCCATCTTGAAGAGGCAATGTAAGGGTGGTTTCACACCTGCCCTGTTTGGTTTGGTTCAATCGAACTCAAGTTTGTTTGCCCCCCTAAGTGCGGTTTGTTTGGGCAGGTGTGAACACAGCAGTCGCACTCGGGTGTGCACCAAAACAACTGGACTGAGACCTTCTTGAGGGGTGGTCTTGGTCTAGTTACAAATGAACTCTGGTGCGGTTTGTTTGTGGTGAGAACGTGTTCTGACCTCAATCCTAATCAACTGCAGTCACATTACGCATTGTTTGGGTTAAACACGAGCATGTTACGGTCGTGGAGGATTATTAATGTGCACCTCCTCCTGTACTGCCTTGATATGCACATTCGGCGCATCAAATGCTTCAAAACATTGTTTCCTAGTTGTAGCCGCGCCTCGTTTTCAAAATGTATGGTTTGCCTAAAATGAACAATGCAAGTAATATAGTCCACGATGACCAGCACTAAAATCAACCCACAGTCGTCCCTTCATTGTGACATTAGAAAGTGTCGCATTTGTCTTGCAAGTGTACTTTTCTTCAACGTTTTGTTTATTTCCTTTATTTTTTCTACATGGAAATTCTGACCAATCAAGAGCAACTTTATCGTGCAAGGCATTTTATGTGGTCTGCTTGGGTTCAGCCCACTTGACATGCTGCTGTGTTGTGCTATGGCCTATTCAAGTCCTGGAATTTGTTATTGACATGACAACGCCTAAACGCAACATAGGCTCCGTTCCATTGAGAGTGTGTGTACAGGGCCGTGCTGCGGGTTCGGTACGGGCTCAGTTATAATTGTCTCTGACTCAGGTCGGGTTAGGTCAGAAAAATGCTGCCCAAGCCGCGCTCTAGTGTGCTCACCTGTGTCTGTGTAAGTGTGTGCACGCGCGCACATGTGTCTGTGTCTGTGTTCGCATCGGGGCCGAACTCTGCCGTGCGTGATACAGAGCGCAGAGTTGTAAACATGCAACCCTGTAGAGACAGAAATGACATGCCGTCATGTAAATAAGATAAATAACATAAGGCTTTTTAGTTTGTTTAATAAAAGGACAAGGTATAGACATGTTCTTTAGGAAAGGTAACCTTTAATGACTTCTGTTGTGATCTGGTTCTATATAGAAAATAAAATTTAATAAAATCAACCTGATCTTCGGGGGGGGGGGACCCCTAATATAATGGTAGGGGAAACACTGTGGTAGGAGTACTTTTACTGCTGCTGAAATGTGTAACTCAAAAACATGATAAATAAAAAAAACTGATCACACCTGATCTGTTGTGACTGTTGACGGGTCCTGTTGTTGCCATGACAGCGGCTCACCCTGTATGTGGGAGGAGGATGAATCACATCCAGCTGGCGTGTGGTTCAGAAAATATTCACATCTATCAAACATTACGTAACATCAACATCCACCAGGTACATTTACTCAGGTACAAATCAGAGGTACTTTACTCGAATACTCCTTCTCTATTATATTTATCTGAGAGTTTTAGTTGCTTTACTAATGAGGGTTTTTTTTAGTGTGGTATTAGTCCTTTTACTGCAGTAAAGGATCTGAATACTTGCTGCTCAGGTCAGTTGAATCGTCTCTAAGAAGTTTATAACATTTGAGTTATCCTGTGATCTGACAGACCATGTTACACAACAGCAGCTCTGAATAATCCGGAGGAACATAAGCCTCTTACATCAGATCCAAACACCACTGATTCTGGATCAGGTCTCGCTTCGTCACAGCGGGATTAACAGTACTCTGACAGCAGAATGGGATTTTAATGAGGTGTTCACTGTTAGTGTGCCAGGGCTACAAGTGCCACTGAATGGAGCACAGTGTCCCTGAATGCAGCTCAGAGTGTCCCTGAATGTTGTGAAGAGTGTCCCTGAATGTAGTGAAGAGTGTCCCTAAACACAGCTCAGAGTGTCCCTGAATGCAGCACGGAGTGTCCCCGAACACAGCTCAGAGTGTCCCTGACTGCAGCTCAGAGTGTCCCTGAATGCAGTGCAGTGTCCCTGAATGCAGTGCAGAGTGTCCCTGAATGCAACACAGTGTCACTGAATGCAACACAGTGTCCCTGAATGCAGTGCAGAGTGTCCCTGATGGCAGTGCAGAGCGTCCCTGAATGCAGTGCAGACCGTCCCTGAACGCAGTGCAGAGTGTCCCTGAATGCAGTGCAGAGTGTCCCTGATCGTAGTGCAGACCGTCCCTGAATGCAGTGCAGAGTGTCCCTGAATGCAGGGCAGAGAGTCCCTTAACACAGCGCAGAGTGGCCCTGAACACAGCCCTGAATGTCCCTGAACACATCTCAGAGTTTCCCTGGACGCAACACATATGCAAAAATTAAACAAGATGATTCATTATGAAAAATAAAACGTAATGACACTGTTGGAATGAGATGACTTTGACAATGTTAATAGCCTGTGTGTGTGTGTGTGTGTGTGTGTGTGTGTATGTATAGAAGAAGAAGAGGAGGAAGATTGATCGCAGTATGATCGGAGAACCAACAAACTTCATTCACCTCACACACATCGGCTCCGGAGAGATGGCAGAGGGCCTGCAGCCGGTGAGACGACACACCTGTCTGTCTCTCTCTGTCTGTCTGTCTGTCTGTACACCTGTCTGTGTGGTTATTATATTTTGAAAATTAAGCTGTAATTGCACGAGACATAGGGCGTTTCTCAATACTAAGTACACCAAGTCGGGACTTGTGCACTTGGGAGTTCGGACTTGGCAAGTTTGACTTAGGAGTCCAAACTCCCAAGGACAGCTGCCATTGCCGCTGGTCTGTGAGAAATGCTTTTTGGGATACCTGGCTGTCAAAAGTCCACTCAAGTCACCTCCCGATGCATCCCCGATGCATCCCCGATGGAACGGGCAGAACAAGTTCACATCTGGGCATTTGGAGTGTACTTGGCTGGATGTGGACTTTGAATTGGAACAGTGCTTGGTCTGCAACTGATGACGTTTCACAAGTCTGAAAGAACACAAGTACAGGCAAGAACGCAGATTGAGAAACGCCTATAATATTAGAAATATATTTACATGTTCTTCATTTGCTTTGTCAGGAAGTGCCACGCAGCACTGTCTCTTCCTGTTTCTATTTTAGCTCCTCTGTTGTCTGTTAAAATCTGCCTCGAGTTCAGCTGCAGGTCTGACCACAACACAATAAATAAAATACAGTATAACAAAAAAATATTAAAACAAAAAAGATAGAATAAAATAAAATAATGGTATAGTGTGTAATTAAAAAAAAAAAAAAAAACGGAAATTAAAAACAAAATAAAATGGTAAAAAAAAATATAAATATATGTAATAGAACAAAATAAAGTAAAAAAAAAAGTAAGTAAGTAAAAACTAAATTAAAGGTAAAGGTAAAATTAAATAAAATGTAATACAGTAGACCTAAGAAAATAGAAAACAAACAAAAAATAAAGTAGATTATGTATTAAAATGAGATAAAGTAAAATAAAATGAAAAGTAAATTGAATTAAAGGTAAAATTAAAATTAAAGAAAATGTAATACTGTAGGCCTAAGAAAGTATAAAACAACCAAACAAAAACTTAAAGAAAGTCAAAATGAAATAAAATAAAATGGTTAAAGTAAAGTAGAAAGTAATAAGAACACAAAAAAGAAAAAACATAACAATCATTTAATGTAATTCCATCAACAGCTGGAGCAGTTTGAAATGGTCTGATGACATCATCTGTGTGATGACTGGTCAGAGTCAGCAGGTGGTCTTCCTCTTGGATGAGTTCAGCGGTCAGATGTGTCCTTGCTCACTAAGTCACTTCCTTTGTTACGTCAGATGATAAACAGAGAATCTAAATTCACCCAAAACACAAACACACTGAGTGAATAACTAAATAATAATAGTCCATTAATCAATAGAAATGCAAACTACAGAATGTACATAATATTTACACAGAATTAAACACAATTACACATAATACTGAATTAAATGAAAAAAATCTAAATACATGAAATTTAAGTTATGTGTTCATTTACATGTAACCAATCATATTGATTATGTTGTGTGTGTGTGTGTGTGTGTGTGTGTGTGTGTGTGTGTGTACGCGTACATACAGTCGGGGTCGGTTCAAGAACAAATGAGGTCTAAAGGCCCGAACATGAACGGCAGGAACAGCCTGTTATAGCCGGTAAACACACACACACACACACACACACACACACACACACACACACACACACACACACACAGCTGCCTCTTCAACTTCACGCAGCGCTCACACACATAAACTAACACTTCATCTCCTCTCAGAGTAAAACACTTCATGATGTAAAGTACGAAGTACACTACTTTCACATCAACAAACACTGTGACTTCTCGTTCGGTCAGACTGACACCTCAGCTCCTTTAAACATGTTTGCTCAGACTGGTGCTTCAGCTCCTTTAAATACGTTCACTCGGACTGACACTCCAGCTACTTTAAATGTATTCGCTCTGACTGATGCCTCAGCCCCTTTAAATGCGTCTGCTCAGATTGACACTTTAGCTCTTTTAAACACGTTCACTCAGACTGACACTTCAGCTTCTTTAAACACGTTCGCTCAGATAGACACTTCAGCTTCTTTAAACACGTTATGCTCAGATAGACACTTCAGCTTCTTTAAACACTTTAGGACCTTTAAGCATTTTTGCTCAGACTCACACTTCAGCTCCTTCAAACACATTCGCTTGGACTGACACTTCAGCTCCTTTAAACAAGTTCGCTCCGACTGACACTTGACATTGATTCATGTAATTAACGATTCACATGACAAAATAAGTCAACGTTAACTTTTGGTTTCACATGAGACAAGAACATTGGTCTGCTGGGTCATAGTCCTGTGCTTGTTGGACCCATCCACTCGAAGTGGACTTTGTTGCTATTTATACGATGTCTGTTGTTCTGAATGTCTAATAATGATTCACATGGGTTTACATGGGAGTTGGCTGACAGCCAGTGCTTCTCATGCAGACAGTAAAGGGTGCATTGCACTTCGGGTGCATTGTGCATTGAGTGCATTGTGCGTTGGGTGCATTGTGCGTCGAGTGCATTGTGCATTGGGTGAATTATGCGTCAGGTGCATCGTGCATTGGGTGCATTGTACGTCGGGTGCATTATGTGTTGGGTGCATTGGGTTTCGTTAATCATTGGCAAACTTTCTGGGGAAAACCTGGTCTGATTAGGAGAGACGGCATTCATCCCACTTTGGATAGAGCTGCTCTCATATCTAGAAACCTGGCCATGTTTATTAGTGGGGAGTTGGAGCCATTTTTAACTCTAGTCTGTTAATCAGCCCTAAACCTAAACTAGATTATAATTCATTTGAAAGCCTCGTTCTTAGTCTTTTACATCCGACCTGGAAAACCTCGCAGCCACTTTTATTTGTTATAGTGTACCGTGCTCCTGGCCCATATTCTGAATTTGTATCTGAATTCTCAGAGTTTTTATCCAGTTTAGTTCTGAAATTAGATCAAGTTATTATTGTAGGCTATTTTAACATTCATGTTGACGTTGATAATGACTCCCTCGCTACTGCGTTGATCTCATTATTAGACTCCATTGGCTTCAGTCAGGGTGTACATAAACCCACTCACTGTTTTAACCATACCCTCAATCTAGTTCTAACGTATGGAATCCCTCTCTATCAGACCATTATTTCATAACTTTGATTTCTTTTTACTTGATTACACGCCACTCAGCAACAGTTACTATACTAGATGTTTATCGGATAGTGCAGTCGCAAAATTTAAGGCAAAGATTCCATCGACATTGAATTTAATACCATGTCCTTCTGTAACAGAGGTTTCCCGTACCGACTTTAATCGATAGCGCTATAGGCTCGCTGCGAACAACACTCGACTCTGTAGCACCTCTTAGAAGTTAAAAAAAAAGCAAAGAAATTTCGCTCCTTGGTACAACTCTCAAACCCGAAAATTAAAACAAATATCGCGAAAATTTGAAAGGAATTGGCGATTAACCGAACTAGAAGAATCTCGTTTAGTCTGGGAACAAAGTCTCAAAACATATAAGAGGGGCCTCTGCAATGCCAAAGCAAACTATTACTCAGCATTTATAGAAGAAAATAAGAACAACCCCAGGTTTCTTTTCAGCACTATAGCCAGGCTGACTGAGAGTCACAGCTCTATTGAGCCTTGTATTCCTTTAGCCCTTAGTAGTAATGATTTTATGAGCTTTTTTAATGACAGAATTCAAACTATTAGAGGCAAAATTAATGACTTCCTGCCCTCAAACGGAACCAATCTGCCCTCAAACACAGCTGTAAGACCTAATATATATCTATATAGCTTCTCCCCGATTTCTCTTCAACAATTGACCACAATGATTTCTTCATCTATTTATCATCGTGTCTCTTAGACCCCATCCCAACTAGGCTACTTAAGGAAGTCTTACCTTTAGTTAACACTCATATATTAGACATGATCAATATATCTTTATTAACAGACTATGTACCACAGTCTTTTAAGGTAGCTGTAATTAAACGTCTTCTAAAAAAAAGCCCACCCTGGATCCTGAGGTGTTAGCCAACTATAGACCAATATCTAATCTTCCCTTTCTTTCAAAGATCCTTGAGAAAGTAGTCGCAGACCAGCTGTGTGATTTTTTTCCCCATGATAATAATTTATTTTAAGAATTTCAGTCAGGATTTAGAGTGCATCATAGCACTGAGACACTAGTTAAAATTACAAATGACCTTCTGATTGCTTCAGACAAAGGACTCGTCTATGTACTTGTTTTATTAGATCTTAGTGCGGCGTTTGACACCATTGACCATCAAATTCTGCTACAGAGACTGGAACATTTAATTGGCCTAAAAGGTTCTACACTAAGCTGGTTTAAATCTTATTTACCTGATCGTTTTCAGTTCGTTCATGTTCATGATGAATCATCTCTACGCACTAAAGTTTGTTTTGGAGTTCCGCAAGGTTCTGTGCTCAGACCAATCCTATTCACTCTATATATGCTTCCCTTAGGTAACATTATTAGAAATCACTCTGTAAATTTCCATTGTTATGCAGATGATACACAATTGTATTTATTGATAAAGCCAAAAGAAACTGATCAGTAAACTAAACTCAAAAATGCCTTAAAGACATAAAAACCTGGATGAGCACCAATTTCCTTATGTTAAATTCAGACAAAACTGAAGTTATTGTTCTTGGCCCCAAACAACTTAGAGACTCTTTATCTGATGACATAGTTTCTCTAGATGGCATGGCTCTGGCCTCTAGCACTACCGTAAGAAACCTCGGAGTAATATTTGACCAAGATTTGTCTTTTAATTCTCATTTAAAACAAACCTCACGGACTGCATTTTTTCATCTGCGTAATATTGCGAAAATTAGGCCTATCCTGACCCGAAAAGATGCAGAAAAATTGGTCCACGCTTTTGTTACCTCTAGGCTGGATTACTGTAACTCCCTATTATCAGGTAGCTCTAATAAGTCTTTAAAAACTCTCCAGCTAATTCAGAATACAGCAGCACGTGTACTAACAGGAACTAAGAAACGAGATCATATTTCTCCTGTTTTAGCTTCTCTGCACTGGCTCCCTGTAAAATCCAGAATTGAATTTAAAATCCTACTGTTAACTTATAAAGCTTTAAATGGTCAGGCTCCGTCATATCTTAGAAAGCTCATAGTGCCCTATTATTCCACCAGAACACTGCGCTCTGAGAATGCAGGATTACTCGTGGTCCCTAAAGTCTCCAAAAGTAGATCAGGAGCCAGAGCCTTCAGCTATCAGGCTCCTCTCCTGTGGAATCATCTTCCTGTTGTGGTCCGGGAGGCAGACACCGTCTCCACATTTAAGACTAGACTTAAGACTTTCCTCTTTGATAAAGCTTATAGTTAGGGCTGGCTCAGGCTTGCCCTGTACCAGCCCCTACTTAGGCTGACTTAGGCCTAGTCTGCCAGGGGACCTCCTATAATACACCGAGCACCTTCTCTCCTTCTCTCTCTCTCTCTCTCTCTCTCTCTCTCTCTCTCTGTCTTCGCTAACACTCATGTTCTTTTACTACATTTTGCTAACTCAGCTGTACTGCATGTCACTAACTTGGCCTCTGCTCCCGAGCTTTTGTGCTCCATTGTCTCGCAGGTCAACTTATATCGCAGCGGTGCCTGGATAGTGTGATGTGTGTGGTTGTGCTGCTGCCGTGGTCCTGCCAGATGCCTCCTGCTGCTGTTATCATTAGTCATACTTCTACTGTTATTATACACATGATTATTGGCACATATGTATACTATCATATACTTTCAGCATATTGACCACAATATCCGTAATTATTATTATAATATTATTACTTTAATTAATGTTGTTGTAAGCTACTGTCATTACTGTCTGTCCTGCATCTCTCTCTGTCTCTCTTTCTGTCTCATTGTGTCATACGGATTAGTGTTAATTTATTATGTTGATCTGTTCTGTACATCTATTGCACGTCTGTCCGTCCTGGAAGAGGGATCCCTCCTCAGTTGCTCTTCCTGAGGTTTCTACCATTTTTTTCCCACGTTAAAGAGTTTTTTTGGGGGGAGTTTTTCCTTATCAGCTGTGAGGGTCCTAAGGACAGAGGTATGTCATATGCTGTAAAGCCCTCTGAGGCGAATTGTGATTTGTGATATTGGGCTTTATAAATAAAATTGATTGATTGATTGTGCGTCAGGTGCATCATGCGTTGGGTGCATTGTGCGTCGAGTGTATTGTGCTTTGAGTACATTGTACGTCGGGTGCATTGTATATCAGGTGCAGTGTGCATCCGGTGCATTGTGCGTCTGGTGCATTGTACGTTGGGTGCATTGTGTATCATGTGCATTGTGCGTCAGGTGCATTGTACATCAGGTGCATTGTATGTCGGGTGCATGGCGCATCGAGACCAGGCTGAAGTGTATTGACTTTTTACACACTACAATATCTGACTCCATCTTGTGTGTTTATTATTTTTCAGGAGTGTATTAAACTGACGTAGACCAGCTGACCGACCTTCTCTTTCCTCTGAATGAGCCTCTCCCACATCTGACCACCGACCATGGGCTGCGACCCCCCTTCTACCCGGCTCAGGCATTCAAAGCACTGCGCCGTCAGCCACCTGCAGGGGGCACCATCGCGATCCTGACCAGCCAAATCTCTCCTTTGAGGATTATAACTTTATTTAAAAAATGTGTATTATTGCAAAGTATTTTCTACAAGCCAAAACTGAGAATCAGTAGCCACTTAAAAAAACATCCAGTCCAGACGGACAATCCTGCTGATCTTTTCCACGTCTCAGATCCAATAAAGTGCCAGCTATAGGATTTGGACTACATCTCTCAGCATGCCTTAAAACTCCCTTTACGTACACATCATGCTTAACTCTGACAATAAGGAGACATTTTTATTACTGGATTTAAATATAAACAATTTGGATCGGAGTTTAAGAACTAATGTCCACGTGTTGTACTTGTTTTCACCACTAGAGGGCTGACATGAAGATGTTTCCCCTGTCAATATTAAATAAAACCAACCAATGACATCACTGGACTCCATTTCCCAGAATCCCCTTGACAGAATGTCTGTATTTAAGGACGAAAAACTGGTTTCAAAGTGCTTTAAACAAAATGTCACAAACAGACTACGTTTCCAAGCATTCGGAGGGAAGTTTTCTCTAAACTTTCCCATCCAGGAGGTTCCTTTATTCAAACCGTCATGCTGGTGGTAGTCCTAGGATTCCCAGGATGCTTTACTCTGCTCAGTTGTGCTCTGTAACAGGAGTATTAAACATTTTGTTTGTTTGTTTCCAAAGCCCTGCCTCTGTTCATTGGTCACATGGCCTCAGTGATGACATCATTGGACTTCAATTCCCAGGATGCTTCACTCCACACAGCCTCACTGCTGGTGCTGAATGATTTAAGACTCTTATTCTCGGAGATGGGAAAGTCCCCCTTGTGTGTGTGTGTGTGTGTGTGATGTCATATGGTCTTTATATCCCACCAGTTTAAATATAATTGTTGCTTCCCTCTCACAGGGGACAGGAAACGCAATTCAAAACTTCCATCAGAAAATGATACGTTTTTGTCAAAGTTTCCACTTATACAAAGATGTTATTTGTCTTTCTTTTCAGTTGACTAATTAAACTGCGGGTTGGGGCCCTAAACGGGTCTTACGCCAACAAGACAAGTTAATAGACAAACTTTTAACTTCACGTGGCACGCTGAGACCTTTTTCAGGACTTCTGTTTAAAAACATTTCATGCTGCATCTGGTGGGAATATGAGTGTTTAACTGCTTTATATATTTTGACAATTTGAACATTTTTAAGCAGACATCATTTTTAATTTTCTGCTGTTTTTTTTTTTTAATGTGATTTTCTGTTTGATTTCTCATATGTCACCTTTTTTTAAATTTTGTCTTCTTTCTGAGTTTTTCCACCTCTGTTTCAGGGATTCAGTTTGGGTCTCTTGATGCGTGGACTGAGCTGAAGATGTCAAATATTAGAGAGGTCATGGGAAAGCTTAAATATCCTTTGCTAAGTAAAGAATTTCTTTGAATATCAGCTGCCACCCTGAAATTAATTATTGTAGAATTTGAACTGTCATGCATTAAATGCATGACAGTTCAAATTCCCCAAAATGTTTAATTCCAGTCGTAAGATGGGGTGGAGCAGAGGCCACCAACCAAATGTGTATTTAAACAAACATAAAACTGCACATTTTACTTACAGATTAAACTCCTATAGACCCTTCTAGAGCTGACGCTCACGATGATGTCATTTTATTAGCTGGAGGCAAAATCTGCCTCTACATCACAGGGCTGTAGGCTACATAGGAGTCTTAAAATGTTGTCTTGTTGTGTTATTGAGAGCCAGAATAGAAGGAGTCATGGCTCAAAACCAGCCGCCACTGCATTTACTCCATCAACAAAAACAAAGACAACTAAAGTTAAATGTGATAAAACAAAAGGACTGGATGGAGGCCATCATCACTTCAGGTTAGGGAAAAAGTTGTTGTAGGGATGAATAATCTTATGTTTATTAAGGGTTATCATGTCCACCTCATCAGAAGTTGGGGAGGTATTAAGAGGAATATTGGATTACTCACATTACTTACTAACGCTAACTTTTTAGCCACTAAAATTTAGCACATAAGCTAATGTTAGCAAAACAAACTGGAGGAAACTGTTTAGGTGTCGTCCTCCTTTATAAGATTGGCATAGTAATAAACCACAGAGCTTTCTGTGACATCATCCATCCACTGAGTAAGAGTCATATGGGTCGGCCAGTCTGGTACCAGTGGTCAGTGTTTACTTATTCAAGTAACACTTGCGGTCCCGGAGAGTGAGTGACTGGACATGGTGTGTTGGTAAATTCAGTCTGACACTCTACACTATGAGAGCCCTGTTGGAGACGAAACAGAGCATTTTATTTCTACATGAATTTAGAGTGCCCAGAGTGCACTCTGCCACTCCCAGAGTGCAGTCCTTTGGATAACTGAATGGTATATTCAGACAGCGCTCCAAATTTATGGTCTAGTTTGTGCCAGAGTACACTCCAACACTCAGAATGAGTATTTCAGGATGCAACACTCACATCATCGTCCTCCATTGTCTAAAACAAGTCAACAGAACTTGCTAGCTAGAGCTAGCTAATGTCTGTGGAGACTTCTTTTGCCTCTAGGTAAGCCCCGCCCACCAAAAAACGTCATTCTGTATACTAAAAGGGTCTTTTACATTTTCTGTAAGATTTATATTACAGTCTAATTATTTCAAAGCATTCAAAGCACATAATTCTGGTGAAGAATATGAACTCTCGTTTAATTTATTTATCTGTTTCAGTCTAAAAATATCTCAAAATGAACCTTAATACAATCAAAAATATTCAGTTGTATAATGAAAACTTTATATATGTCATTTAACCCTAAACTTACCAGAAAAATTAGTGTGAACATGACCTCAGTATTCTCAGTGATTTTCAGGGCTGCGCACCAGACTGGACTCTTAAGCACAGTTTGATTCGACTGGACAAAACATATATCTCAACAACTCCAAGTAAGCGTTAACTGATTGATTCATTCATTACAATAACTGTAAATGTCCCAGAAATTATAAAACAGGCAGAAATGAAAAATCAAAGAGGTTAAACTCAGAAGTCAGGCCAAAAAAAGACGATGACGACATCTGCGAACACTCACGAACTGTAACTCGACCCTCAGCTGTTGTTTACACTATCCCGGGAGTGGGTGCCATGGAAACCGCTGACTCACGGTGTTCCTCCTCGCCGTGGCAACCAGCCACTTCCTCCCCGAGGAAGTCAAAACCTCTTAAGGAAAATGTGAGCTGCTGCTGCTTGTCTCAGTTTCCTCAGGACAGCGTGGTGTGTTTATGGGACTCTCTCTATTAAACTCCACCATGGTAACAGATGTGTCAACCACAACAACCAATTATAATACTGGTTTTACATCATGTGACTCTCAGTCATTTTTGATCAGCTGATACCATTTAAGTGAACAATAGATACAAACAAGGAGCCAGAAATAAAAATCACATGAGACTGCTTCAAGCAGAGCTACCAGCTTCTTCTGCTGTATTTAAAACACAGCTGCAGTGAAATCTGACAGTGTGAACAAGAAGCAAACTTTAGACACGCCATGATTGGATGTGAAGGACGTTTTTAGCCCAGTTGCCAAAAAAAAAAAAAAAGTTGGCATTGTACGTTTCTGCAAAACCACAAATACGTTACATTTGCACATTTCATGCATATCATACCAATGTTTCTAAAGTGACACAGTGCATGAGCTGATTTCGGAGGTGGTGGATGGCGAAACGTCTGCCAAGCTGCAGACTACTGTTCAAGACCAACAAACAGCAAAATCCGTTGTGATTTAGCAAGTCATCACTGTGTTTCCCAGCAGCTTTTCAACCACCAAACCAGCAGGGATAGTGCTACGAAATTGGTTGAATTTTACTGAAAGATCGCTGTGTTTCCTGCAGGGATTATGCCCCCAAAATAGATGTTTCAAGTCAAATCATGATCTTCTCCTAACCATAACCAAGTGGTTTTTGTGCCTATACCTAACTACACATTAACCACAGAGTTGTTGAAATGTAAAGGGACAAAAAGTTTCAATCTTTCTGCTACATAATAATGAACAAATGCAATGTATCCTTGGTTTGTAGAAACGTACAAAGCCAACACTGACATGCAAAGACACATGGAAATACTTCAAGTGTGTGTACAGGCACATCAGCATTTCTGATCATCTGCAGGTGTGTCCTGATCCCTCAGCATGTCACACACTGAGTTGATCTGAAACCTGGATCAGGTGTTTACTTCAGTTTCACGAGTGTCAGAGAGGCAGGAAAGACAAGAGTTTACTCAGGTCGAAACCAAGTTGACCAAGAAGACAAGAGAGAACCATGTAACCAGAGTGGAGATGGACCCGTATCTAAACTGCTGGACTAATCAGTGAAATGCAGAGCAGGTGAGCAGGTGGTCGGGGATAGTATATGACAGGTAAACATAAAACAGGTAAAAAATGAATAATTAATACCTATCTGAAGTTGTGATTTTAGAATATCTAACCTGGATCTGATGGTTACATGGAAAACACATAACATGGATACCCGTAGTGTTCGTGGTAACACCCTCACTGTAAAACCTTCAGCTTCAATATGGTTCAAATCTAAACAATAGACCCTTTTAGGGCTGACGTCACAATGTCATTTTATTAGCTGGAGGCAAAACCTGCCTCTCCACCACAGGGCTGTAGGCTACGTAGGAGTCTTAAAATGTGGTCTTGTGTTATTGGGAGCCAGAATAGAAGGAGTCATGGCTCAAAACCAGCCGCCACTGTCCATCAACAAAAACAAAGACAACTATGGTTAAATGTGATAAGACGAAAGGACTGGACGGAGGCAATCATCAAAAAAAGCTTGCATGTCCAGCGCACACTTCATATCAGGTTAGGGAGAAAGTATTTCCTGTTGTAAGGATGAATAACGTTATGTGTATTAAGGGTTATCTTGTCCACCTCATCAGAAATTGGGGTTATATAAAGAGGAATATTGGGTTTCTCTGTAACGCTAAGTTTTTAGCACATTAGATAACATGAGCATCAATAGCAAAACAAACTGGAGGAAACCGTTCAAGTGTCGTCCTCCTTTGTAAGATTGGCAAAGTAATCACCCACAAGCTTCCTGTGGCATCATCCATCCACTGAGTGAGAGCATACGAGTCGGCCAGTCTGGTCCCGTTGGTCAGTGTTTACTTATTCAAGTAACACTCGTGGCCCCGGAGAGTGAGTGACCTGACATGGTGCGTTGGTAAATTCAGTCTCTACACTAGTTCGCCCTGTTGGTCGAAAAAATGGAGCATTTTATTTCTATATGAATTAACGACAGTTAAGTTAATCACACATTCACTCCGCTCGGCACTCTGCTGCTGAGAAAGCGCTCTGGCACTCGGAGAGTGCAGTGCTCTGAAAAAGCAAATGGTACATTAAGACCGTACTCCGAATTTATGAACAGTCCAGTTTGTGCCAGAGTGCGCTCCGACACATCATCTTCCTCTATTGTCTAAAACAAGCCAACAGAACTTGCTAGCTAGCACTAGCTAATGTCTGTGGAGAATTGTTTTGCCTCCAGCTAAGCCCCGCCCACTAAACAACATCATACTGTTTACTAACAGTAAAAGTGTCCATACAGCAGAACAATACAACTGCAACACTCAAACGCAGGTCATGTTCCCGTTACAAGTGAATCTTAAGCAAACTTTTGAAATGTTGGGTTCGGTGCCTTGCGCAGGGGCACCTCAGCAGTGCCCAGGAGGTGAATTGGCACCTCTCCAGCTACCAGTCCATGCTCCATATTTGATCTGGACGGGGACTTTAACAGGCAACCCTCTGGTTCCCAACCCAAGTCCCCAAGTCCCTATGGACTGAGCTACTGCCCCCCATGACATGGTCATGTTTCATGCTGCCTGAAAACAAAGACGAAATTCTGTTGTTATGGAAATATGTGGGGAGAACTTAAAGTTAAATGTTCTCTTATTCAGCAAAGGCTCTTTCTGACCCATATGGCATCAACTCTTTTTCGACAAATGCAAAAACCACCTCAAGCTTGCATGAAAACTTTGGAAGTTTTATCCAATCTCACCCTTTCCATTCATCTTTTCTAAGCGATATTTTAAAACTACGTTTACGGAAACACAGTTGTTGTCAACTTAAGTTAGGTTTGAGTCTTTAGGTTGAAGTCGGCCGTGTTGTTGTTGACCTCTTGACTCAATCTGCCTCGTTTCACTTCTGATTCTTGGAAACTCAGAGCAGCTCTCAGGAAAACAAAGTCTGGCTCCTTTTGTTGATCACAACCATGGTTCCTGTCATCCTCCGCGCACACACATATGGGATTCCCCTCACGGTTTACAGTCCACCAACACTGGAGCACACTTTCCCTGAAATCCCCAACAGAAATAAGATTTAGAGATGATGAGGTGACAAAGATCTGAATATGAATTATGTGTTGATAAAGTCGAACTTTCTTATTACCAAATTATTTCTATGCTTTTTGTTGTTCATCAGAGATGTTGATTTATTGAACTGTGTTTGTATCTTTTTTTTCGAATATATGTTGCGTAGTTAGTGTTGTATGAATGATCATGAGCCTCTGTCAAAACCTGCAGGAGTTAAGGAATAAAAAGTCAAACAAGAATTATTTTATTTTCAGTTAACATTCATCTCACAGAGACACTTA